GCTATACCAGAAGCTTGGCATAGAAGAAAGGAAAGACCCTGCCCATTACTGGGAAATTTTTCTAATAATGAAAATATATACCTTACAGGAAGAAGGGAATAGATTATCTAAATAAAACCTAGTGATTTGCTGGTACGTTAATTTGCTTTGCTTTCCCTGACATAGAAGTGAGGGAGAGGGAGAAGAGAGAAGGGGAGGGGGAGAGTAGAGGAGAAGGGAGAGGAAGGGAAGAAATGGGACAGTAGAGAGAAGAGAAGGGGAGAGGTAGTGCTAGAGGGAAGGCATGGGGGAGAGGAAATGGGGACAGAAGAGGAGGGGAGGAAACGGGGAGGGGAGGAGGGTGAAAAGGAAAAGATAAAGGGAGGAAAGTGGAGGGTAGAGAAGGAGGGAAAAAGAAAGGAGAGGGAAAAAAAGCAGAGAAGAGAAAATTTTTGGTGTGTGTCTTCTGTTCTTTATATTTGTCCCTACCTGTATAAAGACAGTTATGCATTCATTGGCTTCAGAATAGAAATTGCTTAATAAGAAAGTCCTGAGCTGGCTTTTGAGAAAGCTATGTTGTGTTATATTACGTAACCCCAAGTGGAAAGGCAAAGAGTGCTTGGGCATGCAGGGTGGTGGGGTAGGGAACGTTCAAAGGGAATTCAAATTTAAAGAATTCAAAAGGAAGAAAGAGAAGGAAGACAACAGACCAGCCCCAGGGTATTTCCCTGTGGTTGAAACATCTGGTAAATTTTCATCACCCACTTGAAGAAGATAGGAGAGTCCCAATAATGACTCAGATTAAATTTCTGTCTACAAAAATGAGAAATGAGCGCTTAAAAAGCTTTTATTTCATTTAAACAATAGATTAATGTGAGATTTTCTATGTACTAGAGAGAAAGAAAATAATTTCCCTTTAACTTTCTGAGTTCTTAGCTGGGATCCCTGTGATAAAGGACAGATTAACAGAAAAAAAGAAGAGGCAAGTTTATTAACATGCGTGCTTCTGTCATATGTATATGGGAGATAAACAGGAACATTGAGTTACTAAGGTTGCTTAAAATTCAGACTTAAATCTCATCTTGATGGGGAAAGGGAAGAAATGAAGACTTTTGAGGGACAAGCAAATGATTTTTAGGAAAGACAAATGAGCTCTGGAAGAAGAAATGAGAGGTATGAAGTTTGTGGCAAAGTTTGCCTATGTGTGATGTCCACTTGTAATCCTTCCTGTGATAAGAATCAATCTTCCCTGGTTGATGAAACTCCCAGGTAGAGTATTTATGACTATTTGCTTCCTTTTTGAGGATCTGTCTTTAGGTAGATAAAGGGAGTTCAGAGACAGACTCTGTCTTCATTTTCTGTTTTTCAAGTGCCTACTGCTCAAAATAATTAATACACCAAAGCAACATATTTTGAAATAGCAAGCTCTAAATACATAGTCATGTTTTGGGGTGGCATATTCTGTTACCCTTCAGTACGCAAGTTTGAGAATGCAGTTTTTCATCTATTTTCCCTCAACCTGCCTCTGGGGTTGTAGTTTTTTTTGACTTCTACAAAATACTTTTAATTGTGAGACCTGAACTGGCCACCAAGCTTCACTCATTTTTACTTAAACTCTCCTTACCCGTTTTTGCTTAGAAAACATTCAGAAATAGAGGATCACGATTGTATTTGTAGCCTTGGGTTCTGAGACATTTTGATACACTGAATTTAATTTGGTTCATAATACAACAAACAGCCATTGAAATCTACATTAGCTCTAGTGAATAAGCCCTGAAGAATAAGGATGAAGTTTACAGTTTAAGAATGACCCTTCGGGAGAACAGAACTTTCCTTAAAACCCTGATCATTGATTTTGATGGAAGGAACGAAATCTATTTTTTGAAAAAACTTAACTAATTCAACAGATACTTATTTAGCTTCATTTACAGGCAAGTCTTTGATGGGCATAAACTCAGTCTCTGCTGCTCATAGGCTTATGTTGTAAGCAAGATGACAACCATGGAAATTAATGGACAACTCTGAATTGGTACAGATAGTTATCCTTGCAACACGTTTCCCGCCCCGCCGCCCCGCCCCCACCCCCACCCCCGCCCCCGCCGCGCCGCTTTTCAAAAAAGAATGTAAGCTCACCTCCTTCTTTCTGTTCCCTCCACAGATGGCCCCACAGTGGATTTTGCTTTCACCGCTCCACCCATGACTTGCTATCTCACAATTTCTTTATATTTTTAGGGGCTCTTGTTAATATCACAAAGAGTATTCTCAACATCATATCCCTGGCATTTAGCTTTGTACCTAGCGCAAAGAATATGGTGAATACTTTTAAAAAATGAAGGTAACAGATTAAAAAAACAAAGCCTTACCTAATATAAGAAATTGGAGTATAGCCTAGAACCTCAAGCAAGTTCTTTAAAAGCAACTATGTTAAACAATAGTTTTCAAGATAATATTTTGATGGAATGGTTTTTAACGCTGTTATCAAAAGATTTTAGAAGAAACAATATGAAACTAAAGACTTCTTATGTAGATCTTCGTCTCTATTTCTATTTTTATATCCATAGTCAGTAATTAAAGGAGTATGATTCGCCTATGAACAATGACACAGACTTCACCCTCAGGCTCATATCCTGGGTATTCAAACTTAGCAGATCCTCCAAAGTTCCTGTAGAAAGGAATATAAAGAAATAAAAAGTACAAGTTTTTAGACACTCTGACTAGATTTAATGTTTTGCACTTCAAACTTAATAAAGTGGGGCTGTTGTACTTACTCCTATGATTACTGTAGAGATAGGACTGATAAAACAAAATGTATTTTCTTTTCAATATTTAATTACTTATATTAAAGTAAGTGCATAAGTTTAATCCCCCTCTCTCAGAGCCAAAAGAGCAGTATCGTTAGTCTGGTTAATTTAAAAACAAAAATAATATGTCATTTATTGTCTTATGTGTTTTGGTACACTGGCTTTCTACATGCATTTAAAAAAATATTTTGGTAATCTTGTGAGGAAAGGCAATTTTATGCCTCCATTTGAAATGTGTGATATTGAGCCTTTGTATAGATTAGTTGAATTGTGAAGGGTTATATGGCAAACAAATGGTATACACATATATGATTGAATCAAATGCTATTACCAAACCAAAAGTGGGATTTGGCTGCCCATCACCACCAAAAAGAAAACTCGAGGGCCAGAGGCATGTGAGAAAATAAAGAGGTTTGTTTTTGGGGTTTTTTTTAATAGCTACTTTACAATCTGGGAGAATGGTGGACTCTTGTCTCAAAGCCCATCTTCTCCACAAAACCCAGACAAAACCCAGCTGTCTTCAGGAAGACCAAAACAAAAAGACAGTATGCAGAGTTCCTGTTCCCATTTAAAGTACTGTCATTTAGAACCCAAGGTGGCTGCAAAGCAGTCACCCAGGTAGCTTAGCTTGTCCCCAGCTCTTGTCTGGCTTCAAGTTCCCTCCTGTTTCCACTCGTAGGGCCAGTGCCATCGTTGGTCATGTGGCTTCTAGGGCTGCAAGATACTGCCAATGCACGAGCCAGTATGTTCACCAAATGGTCAAGGGAGCAATTTTTTTTGTTGTTCCTGGGCTTATATCAGCTCAGGTGTGGAAGAAGGCAGGTGCTTTCTCAGGCTTTGGGTAGGCCCACCTCCCAACCAATCCTTTGTTTTCCCTGGCTAGACTGATGGTCCTTTTTGGTCCAGCTCGTCCCCTGCCACCACTTTAACTTCTATTGTGTGCATGCTTGCCATCTTCTATTCCCACTCCCAGTCCGGTACCAGAAGCAGGTAGGAGGGCTTTTGCCCCTCTTATTCAGTTATCTTGCCAGCCTGGTGCATGCTGAGCATAAGAAATTCCTCCTGCTGCCATCTTGCGCAGTGGAGCAAGGAGCATGCCTTCAGTTACCCAGGCAATGTGGCCCCCCTGCAGGACCTGGCAGGACCTGGCACTGCCTCCCTATAGTTCTGGGTGGTTAGCCATCTTCCCCTGCGACTCCTCCGGTTCCCTGCCCTCCGCGCACTCCCCGCAGTCTGGACAGCCTATCTCTGTGTATCAATACTGCTTTCCCTGGTGTGTTGTGGGAGCTCAATAAGGTATAGGTATACAAAAGTGATTCAATTATTCAGGCCCACTTTCTGTCTTTGGTCTTAATTCTGAAACCCTTTGCTATTGTTTTTTTATAACTAAAAAGACAGTCCTCAAAAGACCCAAGCTTGAAAATAAACAGGAAGAGAGAATGGAGGTAGAACAATAGATAGCCCACAGGCTTAAAGGAATAATTTATTTTTATGAAGTTCCTAGGCTACTTTCAACATGATCTTGAAACTTTAACTTCTATTTCCTTGATTGTCCTATGACCTGTCTAGACTTATGAGCTAGGAATTGCTAAAACACTCACACTGGGAAATAGAGTATATGCTGGATCCTAATTTAAACTTTTGACTGTAATGTTTGTCCATTAAATGTCAAACTCTTACTTCAACATGGAAACGAAGCATACATTTGACAGTGGGGTACTGCCTCAAAAATCCAGTTTCCCTTATCTGCAGAGTTGAGAAAGAACTTCTCTCCAGCCCTTAGTTTATAAAATCCCAAAGGAAGCAAGGAATGCAAGCTTTGGAATCCAGCCCCTGGACAAACTTTTTGGTGCAGCTAACACATCAATGAGGATACCTTACTTATAAAAGATGCAGTGCCCAGGCTGTACAGTTGGAGGAGCAAGGAAGTGTTTACTGCAGTCTAAAGAGCAGAGCTGCTTAAGAAAAATTGTGTAAGCAGACTACTTGTGTATGAAACAGAAAACGAAAGAAATGTTTTACTGACACATTCATCTGTGATTGGAAATTTACAGTCACTCTAGAGAGAGTGGGAGGAACTAAAGTTAGCTCACAAATTCCCTGCAGGGTGGAGTTAGAGCAGGTAGATTTGGAGCAGAACTAGTAGACTTCTCAGCCCGAGATCTGGTGTATAAATCTGCCAGGAACTCTTGAGAAATTTTTTTTTTCTCTTTTTAACAGGAGACCAGGAACTGTGAGCTCCATTGGAATCCTAGCTGGTAAGCACTGAGACACTGATATATACATTCTGTAGACAAATACATATTCAATGATTTTTCCAAAGAGATAGTCTCTCTACTAGTATCCTTGTCATAATGCTTTAGAGGTTTCTTCTGCCAAGTTTTTCTTCTTCTTTTTTTTCCTCTAAATTTTATTCACAAAAGTAGTAAAATCTCCTAATAATTATTCCTTTAAATTTTCAGAGATCATTTCTATAGTTTGTAAAACTTTGTGTCAAATGGAGAAATCTTTACCAATGCAGTGAAAAAGAATTCATGTCAATAGTTCACTGAATTTATCTACAAAAAGATAAATAATTTTGAGTAATTAAAGTTAATCCTGTAGTTACTGGAGTTTAAATGGTAAAATTAGGTAAAAATTCAGATCATTAATTAAGCTTTAAGTCCTTTGTTTTCTGGTAACTCTTTGGTTGTCTTACAGTGCTATTAGTCATGAAATATTTATTTAGAGGAGTGAATATGTGTATTTCTTAAATGGGGTTACTTCCATTTTGATTTTATGAAATATTGGGCTGACCAAAAAGTTTGTTTGTTTTTTCCTGTAAGATGGCTCTAGTAGCATTTTGTTGTCTTTAAATTCATTTGGAAAAATTTTGTTAAATTGTATCATGACAGCTGTCATATCAACATACATTAAAAAAATCAAAATTGTGAATTTTTATGCAGCCATTTTAATATTGAAAATGGAAAAAATAAGCAACATTTTTGCCATATTATGCTTTATTATTTCATGAAAGATAAAAATGCAACTGAAATGCAAAAATAAAAAATAAAAAAAAGATTTGTTCAGTGTATGAAGTGGATGGAGCGGGTGCTGTGACTGATAGAAAGTGTCAAAAGTGGTTTGTGAAGTTTCGTGCTGAAGATTTCTCACTGGACAATGCTCCATGGTTGGGTAGACCAGTTGAAGTCGACAGCAATCAAATCAAGACATTAACTGAGAACAATTCAATGTTCTACCATGTGAGAGAGAGCTGACATACTCAAAATATCCAGATCAATAAAGTTATTGGTGAAAATTAAAAATGTGTCTTTTATTTTATGGGAAAAACTAAACTGTCATTTTGGCCAACCTAATATATGCCTAAGAATAGGAAGCTTTTTTACATAGCTAAAAATTTTTTTGTTTGTTTTCTTTTCTTCTTTTCCTTTAAAAAGGGTGGGGTGTTATTTAGGTAGTAAATTGGAATAAATGCATTGATCTTATTAACATGAAGATCAGCAGGTAATTAATATATCCCTAGATTTGAAAAATGCAGCTGTGACAGAACAATGTCACTCATTTCTCAAACAATGATAAGGTTAAAGACTGTTGTTTTATGCACATATAGTTAATAACATTTGCTTTCCCTCGTTCTCAATAAAAAGGTAGACGCTTCCTTTGTAATTTAATTTACTAGGTTCTATAAACTTTGAGCTCATGTGCACAATTTGTTCATTTTAGGCATGATACATGAAACTGTGTAAAGATTTACCACTGGGTACTCATAGTCATTTATTTAACTATTTAAATTTTGATTTTAAATGGGTGACTAGGAGATCCTGATTTCCATGATTTTATAAAAGCAATCAATTTTTATTATTATAAAAAATTTAGCTATGAAGTTTTAGCTGTATAAATAAAATTGTGATGCAAATACAATTTAAAAAATTTCAAAAGCTAAGTTGAGGATACAATGGCAATTATCACCCCAAGGTATTAATATTGAAATATATTATGAGAATATCTTCTGTCGCTTTTCTTCACTAATTTCACTTGATCTTAATCATAATGCTCTGAAGAAAGTAATGTTTCACTTACTTTTATGTAACATTGCAATACAAAAAGTTTAGATGGCTTGCACAAGACCATATGTGTATACACCCACCTTCTTCATAAAATTAGCACTAAATATGTCAAATACAAGATCTGGAGTATTGTTTAACTTGAGATAAGGTCTGGAGTGTTGTTTAACTTGAGTTGATTTCAAAATAATAGCATGTCCAATTACTTGCAAAAGGGAAACCTAAAAAGCATAAAATTATGGCTTACAATGCTTTGCTGGTGAGTGGAAGGCAGGATTAAGAAGCAGTTTTTATAAATTAATAACGTGCTTCTTTGGAGTGAGGGCACTATGGTCTCATGGGCACTAAACAAGAAGGGTTGAACAAAAAGAGTAAATGGATTCATAGCCTGCAGTGCTTTGCAGACTGAATAGAGGGCCAAAACAAGTAATAAAAAGAATGAGGTGAAGAAATAGTTTATATTTATATATATATAAAAGGCAAGTAAAAATAAAATGAGAGGGTCCCGTCTCAGGCCAGGAATTTTGCTCTGCCCATTCCACCCACGTGACATGCCACAGCAGCACTGCTGACTCAGCTCCTCATGTAGTCCCCAGCAGTGACATTTATTATCTTTCTCTTTGTTTTTTCCTGCTCTGTTTATTCCAGAATTTAGTTCCTAAATATGGGAGATAATACTGATCCCTCAGAATTACTATAAGGATTGAATAAGAAACAAATATAAAGAAGCTAATGAATGAATATGTGTATTTTTAATTAAGGAAAGTTGAATTTTATTGGAATGTGATGGTAACAAAATTACCTGTATATTAATGCCGGTAACCCAATTTAGAGTTTAGACTTAACCCCAGTGAAGCCTCAAAATGGTTCTATAGACTGGTTCTATGTCTAAGATTCTGACATCCTGGCTAACACTGTTTGACCCACCATGGAGATCCCCAGAGACTCCACCTCACCCAATGTACGGGCCCAACCAAGCTGCTTTTCCATCTGAATTGGCTGGCTTTGGCTCCTGTTTCACAACTTCCTAAATCTTCTCCAACAAGCAACAGCTGTCCTAAGTGAGCCCCAGGCCCGCCCAGGACTATCGTCCCAGATTCGCAGCTTGGCATTACTTGGAAATCTCCAAGCCCAGCATAAATAACTATCTCCGTTTGCTTTATGTCCCAGGCAAAACACTGGGGTGGGGGGTGGGGGGTGTTGAACTTGGCCTGGACCTCTCAGGAAACCTCATGAAGAGAACAAATAATTTAGTATGATGAGATATTAAAAGAACTATCAAGATCAATGCTGAAGTCATTAACTTTTGTAAAGAAGCATGGATTGTAACAATCAAGAGCCATCACGGGTATCAAAACTTATATATATTCAGATGAAGCTCAGTATCCTTATCTGGGAATGTAAAGGATGGCTCATTAGTGGAAACCATTGGCAAACGAGAAAGGAAGAAGTCAGGTAAGCAGAAGAGCTTAGCTTAGAGGACAGGAAGAATGTCTATTTTACAGGCATTGTGTAAACTTATACACGCAGTTCTTTATTTCCTAACACCGTGTGTGTTGGGGTAAGAGGAAGGGGAGTGGGGAGAGGAAAGACATTTAAATTGCAATTCTAGAGTCTTATCTATGTTAGTTTTAGTTTATCCTTAGGCATTTTAGATCTTAAGTACAGTCTATGAGTTGAAAATATCAAACATATTGTGGGGGGAAGAAAAACCAAAAATCAGAAAGCCCGATACTAATTAACCAGCTCTGCTCTCGCCTCTGTCGATTGCTAACCGCCGCCAGCCGCGATAAGCCCTCAGGCGAAGGGCTGACCGGTCCAATCTACTTCCGCATTCCGATCCTTTTCCCGCCCGATGCCGAGGCTTACAAACCCCGCCCCAACCCCAGGTCGGGGCTCAGAATTTGGAGACCGCCTCCTCCGAGCGCGCGCGCGGGAATGAAGGCTTACTCCGTTCCCTGAATCGCGTCTGAGTCTGATTGCCCGCAACAATATAACTTGTGATCCAATTTTCCCCTGAGCTACAGACTTACATATTCAAGATCCAGCTTGCTACCTGAATATTCAGTATTTATTTCAAACTTAACATGTCCTAAACAGAGCTCTGATTTTCCTTCTTAAAATGTTTTTTCGATAAGTATTTCTTTAGGTATTTCTCCCAAAGCTAAAAGTTATCCCCTTGCTTAACTTTACCAGAGATTATCTAAACTTTTTCTCCAAAATACATTATAAATCCAGATGTTTTCCTCTACCTTTCCCCTCCCCACATTTCATCTACCTTCATTTTCCTTTTAACTGTTAAAATAGGCTTAATTTGCCTCTTTTTTTTAAAACTAATAAATCAACAGAGAGCAGAAAAAGTGATTTTTATTTAATGTAAAATTACTTCATCACATTTTTCTACTGAAGATACTCGATAATTATTTCCCATTAAACTTAGAAAAATACACAAAGTCTTTCTGGGTTTCAAAGTGCTTCATGACTAACTCGTGCTTCTCTCTTACATCATAGTCTCCTACGCCTCCTGCTGAGTTCATTACTTGGACAGGTCAAGTCCATCTCCACCTTAGAAACTTTGTACTGGTTGTTATCCTCCTCCAGGTCCAGCTCTTCCCCATAATATAATTCAGAAATGACCATACATCCCTGGCCCATAGAGAAGCACTTGAGCTCCCATTGTAGTTATTCAGTACCTCAAACACTCTCTATCCCCTCACTCTGCTGTTTACTCGCAGATCTTGAAACCATCTGAAATTGCATAATTTAATTATTTTTTCATCCTTCTCTTAAAAAGTAAATTCCACAAGAGTTACTACTTATACGCTATCTTACACATTGCGGTTCCATCGGTGCATGGTGCAACGTGGTAGGTGCTCAATAAATGTTTATTGAAAGAGGAAATGAATGGAAAAATGTAGGAGTGAATCCAGCAAAAGTTTACATATGCAAATCAAGCTGGCCTGAGGAAAACAACTTTTTTCTCTAACAGTATTCTTACTCAATTTCAAAAAATTAAAACTTTGAGAAATATAAAAAAATGTATAACACTTGGGTGAAGTTTAAAATATGTATTTAAATCTCCATTGGTATTCATCCCTTTCGGGAAAAAAATTTATTTACAAAAAGGCAGGGAATATTCAATAACAATTAAATGGAGTAGAATGTGGTTTCAAGAAACACTGCAAGGACCTGCTTTGTTCTAAGATACAGCAGTGAAAGAGAAGTTTCTCATTGTCAGCTGGAAGTAGATCTCTGCTCTTCAGATGCCAAAAAATACTAATATTATTTTAAGTGAATTTACCTTTTTTATCAACATTGTTTTCATTCACAGCAAAGAATTTGTTAGGGTTCTGTTGTATTTACTTCCATACTACTGTGACCTAAGAATCACTGGGGTTGAGTTAGTGGAGGCAAGATAGGGAGAAGGACAAGCTAGGTGGTGCACTGTTTTTCTACACTTTCACAGAAGTATCTTTAACTGTAACCTTCTAGGAAGGCATCTAGAGGAACATGTGAAGTTATATATGTTTGACAGTCACTAATTTTCCAGGAAGTAAAACTAGCATTCATTGAGAGCACTATTACCTAATTTAATTCTTTCAGCATCCTTAAGTGACTATTATTTCCTTTATTTTGTACATGAGAAAAACTCAGGCATGGAGTTTAGTACTATTTGGATAACTGTACTATTTCTGAGGTTGAAAAGATGAGAATCTTAGTTAAAACAAAGGGTGTTTTACCTACAGGGTTAATTTTCTGCAGAAAAGCAAATGATGGTGGCTTTATTATTATTATTCATTTTTAGAGAACAACGTGCAATGGAGCCTTTACCTTTTGAAATGCCAGTGGACACAGTGCAACGCGTGGCGTCTGAACTTAGATGTCATCCTACAGATGAGAGGGTTGCTCTCCATCTTGATGAGAAAGATAAGCTGAGGCACTTCAGGGAGTATTTTTGTATTCCCAAAATGCAGGATCTACCTCCAAGTAAGAATACTAGAAAGGGTTTTATTTTTTAAATCAATTTATTAATTTATTTTTGTTACTGCAAGTGTTTTCCATAAATCTTTGAAAATCATTATTCTGTTACAAATAGAGCCATTGAAATTGTCTGAAAAACAGCAGATTCCTGGTGCTACCAAATCAACCTGTCAGCCTTCCTTAGCCTTGGGTTCTCTATGTGTCCTCTCCTCCTCTGAACAAAATACTTAAAGGGTGCTTATATTATCATCTACTTATCTGAACAATAGAGTGGTTGGTTGAAAAATCATAAGCCCTTGCTGGGTAGCTCAGTTGGTTAGAGCATCATCTTCATAGGCCAAGGTTGTGCATTGGGTCCCACTCAGGCCACACAAAAGAATCAACCAATGACTTCATACATAGGTAGGACAACAAATCAATGTTTCTCTCTTTCTCACTCTTACTCTCAAAATCAATAAATAAAATATATACAGTGTCTGGCAGAAGTAAAGCCTGCTTGAGTGTGGTTGGTAGAGTAATAATATAGGTGTAATAATTTATAGTTTTAATTTGAACATTTCACATAAAATGTCACATGGTATGCTTGAGCATGATATTGTTGTTATAGAATTACATGCTTATGATTTTGTAATAAAAAGGGGGTATTATTTGTGCCAGACTTTATATATAGGTAGATGAATTTACTTGTTCTCTATGTACTTTGAGCTCAAAACAATTCCTTGGCAATATATTAGTATTAGAATATCTCTGATTTTTGTGACACCTAAGTTTATGATAGCATGTTATTTGCCTTAGAGAAAAATATAATTTTTGGACTTAGTATATTATGAGGACTTTTATGTGAATAACCATTTTCTTTTTTGTGCTGTGAGTAAAGATGGCATGTATAAGACTTGCAAAAAATAAAACAATCAGTGGCTAAAAAATGAATAATGCATTTTAAAAAACAATAATACAGTAAGTAAGCTGGGTCTCTTCTTGGTTAGGGAGATGTTCTGTTTAAAAATAACTAGGTAACTCAGGTATACAAATTAATTTTTCATATTTGTCCTTGCTTCAATTTACTTCAATGAAAAAGGCTACCAATTTGAATGAAATAGATCTACCAAAATTGGTTTTGCATTACACTTTATAATAGAGTCTAATTTCACTTTTTCTTCAGGTTAAGTGAGGCAGGTACAATTTTGGATATTCATAATCCAAGAGAATCTGCTAGAATGATTTTAGGGTGAGATTGATTCACTTAACTGTCTTCACTGACTTCTGTGTTATTATGTCACACTGTATGGCACCTGGTAGAATTATGGAAGGGTGAAAGAAGAGAAAGCTGTATGTCCAATTTAAAGTTGCTTGATATCAGTTGAGAAATGTATTGATAAAAATGACACCTATATGAGGCCAGACAAAATAGGGTTGTAAGTGAAGTGTTCTTAGATCACAAAAGAAAAACTTTCTGCATCTTTCTAGAATCTAGAATGAAAGAGCATTTTGATTTGAATCTTCAGGAATGAAAAGATTTGATAATGGCTGAAAATGAGGAAGTTAAATCTAAAGACATTCTTTCAGTGATGGGAAGGACATGCAGCACACAATGTGGAAGTCCTCAGAAATAACCATGACCCAACTGAGACAAGTCATCTCTAATGACCTTGTCCATTGCGCTGTGAGCTGCCTGGGAGATCTGAGGTGCTCCTATGTGCAGTATGGGAGCAGAACTCTGGAGTGCTACAGAGCTTTAGGTCACCTTCTCGGCATGCAACAAGAACTATAAATTGGGAATCAGTGCTCTAGAACTTTATGACATTTGTTGAAAGTTGTAATTTCCTCACAGTTTACTAAAATGTATTTTATTCATTTTCATTATCATTTTCAGTGATAAGGAAAACAGATACAAAAAAGAAAAATAAATAAATAAAAATAGTAAAAGAACCTTTCCAGTAATGGCAGATGGTGGCATTACAGAGAAAAGGAAAAACATGGCAGGAGCACTGAGGAGAGAAAGAGGCCAGTGGTCCATTGTGCCTTTGTGCTGGGCTGGGCTGTCCTGGGGAACGATGCTAAATAACCACCACATCTAGAGACACATTTATGAGCGATGACTACTTCCTGGACACTAGCGGTGTTGTATTAAGGAGTTGGTGTTTTTATTTTCCTTTTTTAAGACAAATGTATATAAAAATTCAAGATTTGAAATAGAATCCAACCCTGAATTTCCAGGAACAAAAAGTTGTTGAAATGAAGGGGTACACAGAAAGTTCAAATGGTATTTTGAATTTGTTGCTTTTTCTCTTACTAAACCTAACACTCTAACTAAAATAATTTTCATTCTCATGTTGAGTCACTTCTGTTCAACAAATATTTTTTAGCTACATTTTCATATTTCTCCCCATGCTTTGAAACTCTTTTCTAACCTATCTCTCTTACTCCTAGCTCAATGAATTCACAGCATAAACAATAAGTCATACTGATTGTCTTGGGAGCCACTGTGGTCTGAGATTGCTGTGAATTTCTGGCTCTAACTCTATAGTTGGGTGAATTTTGAGAAGCAAGTAACCTTTCAAAGCCATAGTTCTTCCACATGTAAAAGACAAATGCTGCTGAGAAATGTTTAAGTTCTTACAGAGTGTGAAAGTGAGATTAAAACAAACAGAATGTATGTTTGGCCTTTTTAAAATTTTTTTCATTGTTGTTCAATTACAGTTGTCCCCAATTTTCCCCCATTACTCTCCCCTGCCTTACTCACCCCCCGCCTCCCACATTCAATCTTCCCCCCTCCCATTGTCTTTGTCCATTGGTCCTTTATACATGTTCCTTGATTATTGCAGACTTTTAACTTTAATAGGAATTATTAATACCAGGTCAATGCAGGACACTTCTACTAATCTTGAGAGAAAATAATCAAAACCCAGGTAAAGATAGCATTGTACATATAAATATGTCATTATACTAAATACTTTACTCTAGTATCCTGATAATAGGTATTACATTTGTTTTCATCAGATCTTCAATAGAAAATAACTCAGGAAATTACAATTTTGGGTAAATTATGGCTTTTTCTTAAAGAAATGTGAAGAGAAAGAAGGTGAATTGATTCAATGAAGAATTTAATTTCTCCAGATCCTGCCCCTGCTTCCGTGCCTCACGCAATGCTAGGGGAAGCAGAACCTCCCCTAAAGACAGGTGGGTCCTCTAATCCTCGTGCTTCCTATGACTGAGTCTGCCTGGCCGCCACAGGGCCCTGCCCAAAAGGCTAGTTACTACCTTGAAGCAAGAAGAAGCTTTTAAAAGGAAAGGGGAAATAGTAGAGACTGTGAGAAAGATTTCTGAGTTTGGAAAAAAGCTCTACATATTGTTGAACAGCTTTTAGAAGAAAATATTACAGACAAATTCTTAAGGGAGCATGGGAAGTTTTCACACCTGCTCCTAGAGTGATGTCATCGATGAATGTACTATTATCAAGCTCTGTCACAAGAAGCTAGGAATTGTACCAACGTAGAAATACAAAATTTCTACTAAAACCAATAAAATTTATGCTATTACTGAAAGAAAGTGCTTTTCAGCAGTTTTTGTTATAAAACATCTAAGTTTTTTGAAGCACAAATTCCTAAAACTCTAGTGTGGGTTGGAAAAGAAGAAAGGCTGCTACATGGAGCACAATGTGGCCATTCTGGAGAAGTACAGTTATTCAGGAGGGCCATTAAAACATCAGATATTGACAGTCCTGGCTGTTTTGAGAAGCCGTATGAATCTATTTCTTCTAGCACTCTTAGTGGTAGTAGCAGTGATAATGAGCAAAACTTTTTTCCTCCATTTTCCCAGAAAAAAGACCAAATGCAACAGATATAAGGCAAGAGCTGTGAAAAAAAATAATTATGAAAAAGAAAGCTGGTCAAAAAGCTCACTTCAAGCAAGAAGAAAAAGAACAGACAGTAATAGATGTTACTGAGCAGTTAGGCAATTGCAGATTAGATAGTCAGGAGAAAGCTGCTGCTTAAGAACTTCTTCACAAAAAAATAGATTACTTCAAATAGTCCTTTGAGAGAAAAAATTAGAAACTTCAGAAATAACTCTAGTAGGCATAAGTAAGAAAAGTGCTGAGCATTGTAAGAGGAAATTTGCCAGATCAAACGAAGTTTCTAGATAGGCTTCTAGTTCAGTGCACATGTGTCCTGAAGTTGCAAACGCAAACTCGCTTCAAGTTCTGAAGGAGATTTCCAGTGGAAGACAGAAGAAACTTTAAAGTTTTTATATGGCCAGAATTATGTTTCTGTGTGTCTGAAACCCTCTTTATCCCCTCTGGTTAAAGAACTTGATGAAGATAGCCCTACCTGGTGTGGCTCAGTGTGTTGAGCACCAGCCTGCAAAACAAAGTGTCACTGGTTCGATTCCCAGTGTAGGGCACTTGCGTTGCAGGCCAGGTCCCCAGCAAGGGGTGAGGGAAGTGTAACCACACATTGATGTTTCTCTCCCTCTCTTCTCCTCTCTAAAAATAAACAAAATATTTTTTTTAAAAAGAACTTGATGAAGATGGCATAAACTCTGACCCAGATAGTCATTCTTGCAAGGCAAGAATCTCAGAAGAGCTTGGGTGAATCTTTGCTTTTCGGGTCTCAGAGACAGTCATTTAACCACTGTCATGTTATGAGAACTTACAAAAAGAACCTGAAACATTAAACCTAAGGATCAGAGAGTTTTATAGAGAATAATGCATTTTAAATCAACAAATCACAAGAAAACAACAAATCACAAGACTCAGAAGCATGTGACCTTTCCACTGATCGATTCAAGTTCTTACAACCCAATTAGAAAACACATCATACTTCAAAAGTTGAGTAAAGTATTGCCTGGATTTTTGGGGCCTCTTCAGATTGCATTAGGAGATATTTACACACAACTTAAAAATCTTGTCTGAACTTTAGATTAACAAATAGAAGTATTATACACAAATCTGCAAAATGAGCCTTAATTGCTATGGTATTGCTGTCATTACTCACCTCAATTCTTTG